TCAGCACAATGTAAGCCGTTTCCTTCTCTTGTAAATATTTAGTGCGCGCACACACAACAATTGGATTCATTCATACTCACTTTCTCTTCCTGCACACAAACACACACACACACATGGCTGGATCAACACTATTCTGCTGTCCACTAAATGTGGACCTCTGAAACAACAAACACAGGTCCCTTGGGCCACAGCTCAATTTGATTCATTATAGTTTGACCAATCAGATTCAAGATGGCTCTGTCACCGGAGGTCAACTTGAAAGGACCAGAGATCAACAAATCACACACACATACAAAGAAAGTTGCTTTAACTTTTTAACCTTTAACTTTTCTTAAGATGCAGGCCTGAAAACCACTGTTTTTCCCTATAACACACACACACACACACACACACACACACACACACACACACACACACAGTCAGCAGTGCTGAATCATAAATATTTCTTCCCTCCTGGAACCCAGACTTACTGCTGGATATTTCTAATAAGGGAGAGAGAGAGAGAAAGAGAGAGAAGAGGAGCCAAGCACAAACAGAAATGCAGTAACAAAGACAGATATACCATAGCAGTGGTTTTCAGGATCCCCAAGGGGGTTTGAGAAATAATTTCTGCGGGTCGTCAATGGTTGTGGAGAGCATCAACCTGAATATTTTGGGGGTCACGACTCTAAAAGGTTGTGAACCACTGCACTATATGACCAAAAGCTTTTCAAGGTTTTGGCCCTTTAGTGTAGTTCAAATAAAGGGAAATCTAAACCTGAAATGATACGGCATGCTTTTAACATTATGGCAACAGTTTCAGGAAGGTCCTTTCCTGTTTCAAACTTGACAATGCTCCGTGCACAAAGCCAGGTCCATTAAGAAATGGTTTTCACAGTTTAATGTGAACTTGAATGTCCTGCACAGGTATATGATCTGATCTGATCTCAACTCTATCCAACACATTTGGGATAAACAGGAACGTCGACTGTGAGCCAGACCTTATCACCTAACATCCTTGTCTAACCTCACTAATGCTTTTGTGGCTGAATGGGAACAAATCCCTGCAGGCAAGTTCCAGAATCTGGTGGAAAGCCTGAAACCAGAAGAGTGGGAGCTGTTAGAGCGGCATATTAAAGCCCACATCAGTGTTCAATGTTCAACCGTTACATATAGGTGAAATGTTTGGGTGTGGACATACTTTTGCCCATGAAGTGTGAGGGAGAGATTAAGAATATCAAATACATTTTTATCAGAATCACAAATTATAAATTTGCCTGAAGGGCTTTATAATCTGTACAACAACCTCTATCATTGAACCCTTAATTTAAATAAGGAAACTTCCACCAAAAAATTACTTTAACAGGGAAATATGGAAGAAACCTCAAGAAGGAAATGGTAGAAGGACCCCACTCCGAGGACAGGCATACATGTTATGTGTACAGAATATGAGATCAAAAAAGACCTGTAAGAGGACAGTCTACACACACACACACAAGAGCAAAGCTCAAGCACACCACTCACAGAGAGCAGACACACACCGAGAGAGAGAGAGACAAGGACAGCATGCACACAAGGGAGAGAAAGAGACAAAGATTACAGGCTGAATCTCCTGGAGGACAAAGATCCAGATGCAAAATATCTGGGAAGAGGCAGGGGGCAGCAAGGGGAGAGAGAGAGGTCCCAGGACAGCCGATGGTCCAGCAGCCTGGCTGGAAAAAGAGAGCAAAGAGGAGAAAATAGGGAGGGGGGAGAGGAGGATAAAGTGCCAGAAGAGCATAAAAGTTTGTTTCTGTTATGTTTCTAACAAACAAATCAATATGAAATGGTCAGTTTATGTACGTGTGTATATATTTTACAGTGAAGTTATTGCTCTTTTTCTTTTTACTGAGATGTGCTGTGATGTTTTACAGTAGTTATGTAAGTGCTTATGTTTGAGTTCAGTTTCATCTAAGTTTCAGAGTTGCTCAGCAAAAAGGGACAGAGAAATAAGGAACAGTGATTCTCCAGTGACTTAATGAAACTGAGGCTTAAAACTGTTTTTGATGCTGCTGTGTTCGTTTCAGCTTGACAGCTAATTTTCAAAGAAAACCAATTAATTGTCACTATAAGGAAGCAACTATCTCCATGTAGTCTATGTTACTCCCACTCAGTTAAAGGTTCCCCATGGAGTTTTTTTCTATGAATGGATTCTGTTTAGTTAATTATGCACACACACGAAAATGGCACACACGCTCAAGTGAGTGAGGCAATACACAGTCCTGCCCATGGTTTCACCCTATTCTACTGATTAACAAGGACAATAACATCCCAAGACATGTTTTGATGTGACAGCGACAGCAGAGAAAAAGAAGACAGCGACTGAGTTAACATGGAGGTCAAGTGTGTGTGTTGTTTTTTTAGGAGGATCTATTGTCAGAAATTAAATTGTATATTCATAGGTACGTTTTCATTTGTGTATAATCATCTGAATATAGTAATCATTGTGTTTTTGTTACCTTAGAATGAGCTGTGTTGTTTTTGGATTGCCTTCAATGGAGTCTTCCTTGTTGAACTGCCATGTTTCTACAGTAGACCAGAATGGACAAACCAAACACTGGCTTTAGATATGGCTTTTTCTGGAGTTTCATGGCCACTGTAGTGTCTCTTACACAGTCCCAGTCCGTTCTCATTCCCAAGTGGTTAGTTGCAATCTGTAACTTCACCACTACATGCCACAAAATCCTACACAGTGGGCCTTTAAAATACTCAAAAAATCTAATTTGCAAATGTTTTATGAGGTAGGAAATGCCTTCAAAACATTTGTTAGACCTCAAGGATATACAGTGTGTTCTGGTGAGTAACACTGAATGTAAACATAACACATTCAAGTCATGTCTCCAGTCTATCTGATAAGTCAAAAGTCTTGAAGTCAAGATGGAAGTCGTATAATGGTGATCATTTGACCATTGTCCTTTCAATATTTTAAGTATGTTTATTTATGTACAGTCTTATTTATTTGTTTGTTGTGACAGAATTCTTCCAGGTCAAAAAGCAGAAACAAGTGAAATCACATCTCGGAGCAATCAGGTCCAAGTCAAGTTCCAAGTTGTAAAGCTCTGGGAGACATGTGCCTGTCCCCACCCACTCAGCAATGACATGGACCATTTAGAATGGGGAACTAAAGAGGAAAGACAAAAAATACATAATAAAAATGTTTGCGTGTGATGTGTGGGCCTGGAAACTGGTAACTGGTAATAGTGCTGTTTTCTGTCTCTTGAAGTGCTGTTGCTTCGTGACATTGTTGACAGAACAACAAACCACAAAGTTGTTCCATCTCCTCTCTGCTGACTCATCTGTCAGACTTCGCTCCCATTACTGTACAATCAGTAGTTGAGATGAGTCATTCACTCATTTACATGACTCTCTTAGCTTTCTGTAAATGCCACGTTTATATTTGAATGCCAAATAAAAATGAAGTAGTCATGAAACATGTTTCAAGTGAGACATAATCCCCTGGAGCTTTTCAGCAGCCTGTGAAAATCTGAGTCAGCCTGAGAGCTGTAAGGCCTTCATCGGGTGTTGGGCTCCCCGCCTGAGATCACCTCACTCTGCCTGCTTTGTTCTGGAGCACTGTGATCAGTTCTGCAGCATCCCGTGGCAGCCAGGGCTTGAATTGTTTGCCGCACTGTTTGCTTAGTGTGTATCTGAGATCAGATGTCACATTTAACAACACAGGAGGGGAAAAAACGGTTTATCATCTCTGAGAGGTTAAAAACCTTGTGTCACTATTAACACTCGTTCTGATTGTCATGTGGGACACACTCCATTATCAAGTGAATGATAGGCTGTTTATGAGCCAGGACACATTCAATATGTCATGACAATTTAATGCATTTTAGTGAACCTATCAATGTTCTATCGAACAATTTTGTTATTGCTATTGACAAAGTGTCTATTACTGATGCATATCACTACTGTTTTACTGCCCAGGCCTGTCCCAACCTGGGGGTTGGTATACCTTAAGAGGTCCCAAGAGAAATATGAGATGATTAACTCGTAAATGCATGTTTTTTTCAAATACACCTCAGGTCTTTAGTGATCGCCACTTATATAACGCACATTAAGCCATATATCAAAATCATATAGCTTGGAAACTTTTTAAGAATGGATTATTAACAATTACCAACACATATTTTTTTACAGTGATTTATATCATTTATTCACCCAGTGAATGTTCCTTAGCTTTCATTTCCTTTCTGATCTCCCCTTCTCTTTTCCCCTCCTCCCCTCCTCCTCTCCTCTATCTTTTTCCTTATCCTCGTGTTCTCTCAGCTTTTGCTCATTAGTTAGGTGGAAGAAGGGAATCGTCACATAGCGAGTATGGGGATAAAAACTACATTTGGTTTTCAAGTCCTGCTCTGTGATTGATTGAGCTCTCCTCGTGTGATGAAGCAGTGGTGGTTTGGTCTGCTGCAACTCACCCATTCAGTGTTTTTCTTTAGGCTTTAATGCAAAGAGTTTGGCTTTCAATTGAGAAACTTTTATTAGTAATGAGTTGAGTAGTCATAAAATCAGAGTGTCATGATTGTGTGTGACTTAAGTTATAAGGTGTATTGTATACCTGCTTTGAAGCTCACTGATTAGTTAAAGCTGTATGTCCATATTAACTGTGCTTCAGTTGTGGTGTGAAAGCGAAAAAGATCCCAGGATTCTGTGGCAGTAGATAAGTGATTTTAGCATTAATTGAAATACTACAACATGCAGTAAAGTGCAGCATGACTTACTATAAAATGCTAGAATAAAGTTAATTCAGATATTTTTTTATTGGATTATTTCAGTTCATCTTCAAGTCCACAATGACTTTGTTCTTATTTCTGATTTCTTACAAAAAAGCACGACTTGACGAAGATCTTAAAGACTGTATGAACATTGAATGAACACTCAGTAAGGAACATTACTGCTGGTTTGGTGATCTTTTGTTGGGATTTTTTGTTGTGTGTGACTAATACCAGTTATCTTTTCTCTTTTATTCTCTTCAGATCCCCATCTCTCTGCGTTTCTCCCTCCCATTCCATCCATTTGTCAGTCGCCTGCTTCGCCCGTCTCTGCAGCATGTCGCTGAAAGTCCAGACCAGTAATGTGACCAACAAGACAGATCCAAAGTCCATCAACTCCAGGGTGTTTATTGGCAACCTGAACACAGCGGTGGTGAAGAAGTCGGACGTGGAGAGCATCTTCTCCAAGTATGGCCGGGTGCTGGGCTGCTCTGTGCACAAGGGCTACGCTTTCGTCCAGTACGCCAGTGAAAGGCACGCAAGGGGGGCCGTAATCGGGGAGAACGGCAGGGTGCTGGCCGGACAGACGCTGGGTGAGTACACATGACGCTGCATGAATTACAACTCAAAACAGGGAATTAAAAATATGATGGCCAAAGTGGTTGTGGAAGGTAACTGAGAGAATTTACCCACAAACCTACCTATATTCCTACCTGAAATGTAAATAATAAGAGTGTATTTTTGGGATGGAAAATGGAGTGTGCATTATGTTGGCTTTCAGGTGGTTTAAGTCACAAGATCAAGATTTACTTGTAAGTGTAAGCTTATTGTCAGACATTGGGTTGTCAGGCCTCCCTCCAGGTAAAGCACTGAGGAGTCACATTTAAAGATCAGAGCCCAGCATTAAAAGCCTCTCAGTATCTGGTGCACTGTTTCATTAGAAAACATTTTCAACATCAATGCCAAACTAGTAGGCACACTGGATTATGAGTTTAATTCAGGGCAGCCCCGTGACAAGATGTAGTTTGTTCATGGATGTTTTGGTTTAGAGCTCCCTTACCACATAAAACATTTTTTGGAAAATAAAAAGCCGAACATGAGGCGAGACAGAAACCGAGGATTCTGATATCAGACACATTACACAGTCATTACAAACTCTGACTTCCACACATTCACACTTACAGTAGCAGCCCTGGGAGAACATCACAGTGCTTCCTGCAAGATGTCCATAATTTGTAAGACTTGTGGCAAAATGCCATTGCTGCTTGATGAATGGTTGTAAAAAAAAAAAATCTTGAGTTAATTGATTAAAGGACCAGTGTGTAGGATTTAGTGGGATCTAGTGGTGAAGATGCAGACTGCAACACCCTAGCCTCACCCTCCCTTTCCAAGTGTTCCACTCTAGATAAAAACAACTCATTCTAAGGATATTCCATTTCTGCCAATAAATCCTTCTAAATGTATCCACACTGGGCCTTTAATGCTTTCAGAACATACACTCTTGATGACCACTGAGCACCATTACATTCTTCTTGAGTGTTTACATATACCATTCCTCTCCAATCATACCTCTGTGTTACTGTGCAATAAAATATCAGAAGGGAAATCAGAGTTGAGCGGAGTGTGCCTTTAAGCTGTTGGAGTGTTTTTCTTCGTCTGTCGGTTCCCTCGGTGGAGCAGGAAGGGACGAGCTGTCAGCGAGCTGGTGTGAAGAACTCAACTGGTTTATGTTCAGTCACTGCAGAGCTGCAAGCACATTTCTTTAATAGTCTCTCTCAGTGCAGTCTGTGTGTGTGTGTGTGTGTGTGTGTGTGTGTGTGTGTGTGTGTGTGTGTGAGAAAGAGAAAATATATGAATGAATATAACTGAAACTGTGTGTGTGTGTGTGTGTGTGTGTGTGTGTGTGTGTGTGTGTGTGTGTGTGTGAAAGTGTGTGTGTGTGTGTGATGTGTGTGCATCTTAGTGTGTGTTCTGGGCTGTAGGGTTAATTGCTATTTCACAAACACTTGTCAACACACACACACACACACACACACACACACACACACACACACACACACACACACACACACACACACACACACACACACACACACAGTAATACTGGGTATATTTCCCAGAAGGCTCCATCTGTGTGTGTGTGTGTGTGTGTGTGTGTGTGTTGTGTGTTTGTTTTTTTGTGTGTGTGTGTGTGTGTGTGTGTGTGTGTGTGTGTGTGTGTGTGTAATGTGGGATAAAGCTGTGACAGCTAAGGGCCCGCTAAGTGATGCTCTCTGCCCCACTGCAGCTTTTGTGTGTGTGTGTGTGTGTGTGTGTGTGTGTTGCTATGGGGATCATATAAAAATCTGTCTTTTTTTTTCTTTGTACCACTTAGCTACCACACTATTTCCTCTCTTAACTTGTCTCTGTACCATTTCCCTCTTTTTAGCTGTCCAATCATCCCTGCTTTAGTGGGATGAAATTTAGTTTAAACCGTTTTAACACATACGGCAAAACTTCTAATAAAGGCAGGGTCCCAAATAGACACAGGTCTCCTTTACTAGCCTGGTGTGGCTAAATGTTTCAGCAAATAAAGGCAGGTCTCAATTAGAGGTATGGTCTGGATTCTATAGAAATTATGGATGTATAAAACCTCTTAAAGCTCACCGGGTGCATAGATCACCTACACAAATATAAATGTTTAAACTTTTGTCAATATAAGGAGGTCCAACAGCCATGACATTAAATGTCCTAAATGTCATCAGCAACATCTCAAAATCAATCCTAAAACAATCAGGCAACAGTGAACAGTGTTCTGGTAAACAAATGAAAACCATGCTTACATTCAGTGTTTGTGTGTGTGTATATTTTAGGTCGACTATATTTCTTCCCTCATTAAACATTTGCAGAGTTAATTTTTTATATATTTTCTTGGTTAACTCAGTGCTATAATTGTTGGTGCATTACCACCAACAGCTGTCGATCAGTGGAACAGCATAAAACCAATAACAGGATGTGAGTTGTGCCACCTGCGAGCCTCAGTGCCTGCATCATACGAAGAAAACGGGGACCCACTTGTAAAAAACATTGCTTCCTGCACTACCGGGCAAAAACTCTAGTTTGTGCCAAGAAATTAATTGGCATGTCCTCATGAAACAGGTGGAGCTCAAAATTTGGTGACAGAGTAACTACTTGCAAGTTGTTGAGCTACTGTGACTGGTGCATTCTAGTTAAGCCGTAACAGTTTGCCAAGCTAAATGGCAGTTACCTAAGTTAACCAGGGGGGCTGCCAGTTAGATTGGCAGTTCAGTTTCTAACTAGACAGTAACGGTTAATGGGGAAAATTTGCAAAGGTGAACACAAGCAATCTGCATTGATTAAATTTGCCTATGCAAGTTAAGCCACCAATCAATTTATCCAACCCCCTGTTTAACAGCTGGTTGGACCACCCACCAACAAGACACGACAAGAGACGAGCTACTGAAAATTCAATAATACTGCACAACATGGAATAATGTCACACTTTGTCACAAATTTTTAATTTTGACCCAATACAGTTAGAGAATCATATCTGGGCACTCCTTGATGTTTGCTTGGTGAAAACATAAAGATAACAAACCTGAGAACTCTGAAATAATAACATCAGCTGAGGGGACAATTGATTCACAAACTCCTTAACAAGCCACTAACAGGAGCTGACAGCTTCCAATTTCTTGATCTGCAAGGAAGTGGCGTGAAGTGTTTTTGGCCAGACTGAAATGACTTTCTGGTCAGAGAGATGTTGGAAGAGTCGATAAAGTATGTCTGTGTGTGTGTGCTGCGTTCAGGGACTTTTACCCTGCAGGAGACAAAGTAAAGTCACTGAGGCATATGGAGCAGCAGGTGGACTGTGTGTGTGTGTGTGTGTCTGTGGGGGGGGGGTTTGTCTTTTCTCTAGGTCATAAAGGGTAGGGTCAATAGCTTGAATTAATGTGCGTGTGTGTGTGGGGAGGGGTTGGTGGGGGTGGCAGGTGTGTATGTGTGTCCACTTGAAAACAACTGGACTTTTGCCATTTCCACACCTGGCTGCAGTCAGATTTCTGGATCACTGCCTCAAACACACACACACACACACACACACACACACACACACACACACACATTCCCCTTCACGGTGAAGTTAACAGGCTTGAATCTTCAGCCTCTGGCTGCTGAAAACTCACTTTCCATCTTCTTCCCGTCTGTCCATCCTTTTATTATCCTCACTCCTTCCTCTGCTTCCCTTCCAAAACCATCATCTTGCTTCATGTTTAAAGGAATTTCAAACACTATTAGCCTTTTGAATGACTCTGAATTTGATATGCATTTTATATTATATTATGTTTTCATTTACTGTTAAGTGTTTCATCATGTAGTTATATATGTTGTTATGAAGTTCTGAAATATTTTGTTTCAAAATACTGACATTTTTAAAGCAGCCACTTCAATCATAGTTAAGTATGGCAATAGAAACATCTGTACTGTATCTAAGAGTTGTAGCAACAGTATAGACTCGACTAGAGGCATTCAAGGGCCGTAGTACTTGAGACAATCAGGTCTGGGTCCCTTTGCTGCTAGTTCTGGGTCTGTTTAACATTAGCCAATGTGAAATACCTGAATGGAGACTCGGCCATTATCAGGCAGCGTTCATCATGATGTGTGTGTGTACAGATGATAAATAATCGACTTTCAAATAATGGTGAAGATCTTTACTGTGGACATTTTATGGAACACATCTATAGCATCCAAATAGGCCAGCTTACCAATCAGCCTCAAACACATGTTTTTTTTTTTTTCATCAGATAAACTGTTAATAACAACTTTCTATGTTTGCTTGTAGTAAGAATTTTTGGTTTTGTCTTTTCCTCCAAATCTAAACGTAGTCTCTCTATGCAATCGGTTCAAAGTACACAATAATGTCACTTTACTGTGTTCAGAGAGAAAATTTTGCTTTTTACGCTTCCGCACAGGCGACAGCTGTGGCCGGAGGCCATTGTGACCTCCCAGAGGGAATTTCATTACCTTGCGCACAAATGTCCACTTGGACTCTAGGATGAACTGATTAGTATTTGGTGAAGGTCAGTGTGACCTCTCAAAACACATTTTTACACTATTTATGACAACATTTCACAGAAATGTTTAATAGTGATAAAATGATGAAGTGATGAAATTTCATATCCAGTAGGTCAAAGGTAAACATCCCTGTGAATATCATAATGTTCATCAAAAACACTTTGCTGCTCATTATTCAGCACCATAACTTAGCAACAGAAGGGGAGATGTGGCCATATTTTGTTGGATACTGAATTGGTGATGGTCATCTTGAAACGGTTGCGACTTTACACTTCAAAATTGAAGTCCAGTTTTGTGTGCAGGTGATTGCATTGGCATATCACCTATCATCACATATCACCATTACATGCTGTGTGAGATTAATTACATTGAATTCCAGGAAATTCTTGTGTTGCTCATTTTGTCCTGATTCATAACAGGTGGCACAATGACTCAGTGTTTACAGCACCTCCTCAGTCCTGGGTTCAAATCTGCCTGCTGACTCTACTTCGGTGTGGAGTTTTAATTTTCTCCCCATGTCTGTGCTCTAGTTTCCTCCCACAATCCAAAGGCATACAGGTTAGGTGAACTGGAAACTTAAGATTGACATTTGATTTAGAATTTTGAGCCAAAGTGTTCCCTGCCTCTGATCCAATGCATGTGGGGATGTTCTCCAGCCCCCAGAGACTTATAAGCTGTTTATAGAGTGGATGACTGGATGAATCATAGGTGCATGTATGTCTCCTTGTATGAGCACAGAGCAGCTATTAACTTTCCATCCACATGTGCGGGGTGGAAACAAAACACAAATGAATCATAATAGTCACGCAAAACACAAAGTAGTAATCACCTCTAATGTGCTGCTTTTTTTCACAGTTTTAAACAAAGTTCATGCAGCTGTTGCTGTTGTGCAGGGGAATTAAATCATATTTAAATTAAATTGTTTTTTAGTCTGTAAATAATGACACAAAAGAAAATGTACAAAAGAAAACAATGTGACTTTGCAGAAAGACTTCTGAAAAGTTTAAGCCTGAAGTAACAGCTTATTGTGCCTAACCTTTTTTAAAACGCTTCATGTTTGACGTCACAAGTAACAACACTTTTTTAACTATTTCTATGCAAACAGAAAGGAAGGCAATAAGGAAAATGTATTTTTACCTTTGAACAACAAGCCAATTCATGGTGCTTTACATTAAGACTGAAAGGCATAGGCAACATAAAACAAACACAAGGTGATACAAAAAGACATAGAACACAACAGACACATATCAACAGAATTTAAAAGGATTCAAATAAACTATGAACTGTTGCAGTCAACGAAGCACTACCTCAGTCACAGAGCCAGAACGCATAGGCTAAAGTGGGGCTACTTCCCTTAGGCCATTCACATCCAAAGGACACTAACCCTAATAGACTACACCTCTACTCTTGTTGACAAATTACCTCCACCCGTCCACTGTATCCCTTTAATGGGAAGCTTTAATATTAAGGTTCAAATTTGCACCTTAATATGTTTTTGTACATATTACCATATATTTTGTTGTATATATTTTCTCGTTGTAGATATTGTATTTTTGAATATTTGATCTTTTTATTATGTCAGGCACAGTCCTGAAGGAAGTGCATTTCAGTGCATGCACAGAGATATCTTGAGTATGTGACGAATAAAACTTGAAACTTGAACTGGTAAATTAGAACATGAAAAATAGAATAAACAGTAGAATGAAAGATCCAAGATAAACGGTCCCAAATTGTACTTATTAAAGTGCACCGGCAAACAGAAAAGTCTTAAGCCCTGGTTTAAAAGAAATTAGACTTTGTTTCTAGATATGTGGTGCATAAAAACTGAATTCTGCTTCTCCATATTTAGTTTGGACTCTGGGGACAGTAAGCAGACTCGTCCCAGATGATCTGAGAGATCTGGAGAGTTCATAATGGAGCAGCAGATCAGAAATATATTTTTGGCCCTGAACCATTCAGTGCCTTATAAACCAACAGTATTTTAAAGTAAATTATTCAACACACAGAAAGCCAGTGCAAAGATCTGAGAACTGGACAGATGTGATCCACTCGTCTGGTCCTAACTCTGCCTGACTCTGGCTTGGTTCTATGGTCTTTGAATAGATTTTCTTTGAGTTCAAAGACAGTAATTTCAGTTTTATCTTTGTTTTACCGGAGAAAATGTTGGCACATCCAATAATTTATATTTTTGATGCACCAGTGCTTGTATGGGTCCATAGTCTGGTGATATTGTTATATGAAACGGTGTGCCGTCTACATGATTAGGGTGAGATATGTCATTTTCTATAATCTGAGCTAGTGGGAGCATGCAGATGTTGAACAGAAGAGGCCCAAGAATAGAGCCTGGGGGGATTCCACATTACAGATTGACACAAATATATATACACTGATTTTGTTTCATTAGTCCTGACCCTTGTTTCATAGAAATACATATTCGTCATTAATCATAAATTGGTGCAATTAAGATTACATAGCTTTTTTCTAATCTTTTATTATTGTCACGTTTTCACAGCACAATAACTAGCACATGCTTTTCTCAAATCTTTTATTTGTTTTGCCCCATGATGCCACAGTAACATGAACTGGGCATTCATTCACATTTTCAAAAACCACCACAGCCCACAACAGCACACAGTACCACACAGTAAGTAATGCAGGGAATTTACTTTTAATGTAGTATTCCTCCTTGACTTGAGTAAAGTAAAGCTGTTTTTTTTTTTCTTTTTTTTTGTCATCACCCCAAATAAGGAAGGAAAGCCACACACAGTACTGCTGGAAATCAGATTGCTCACATTCTTTATAGATGGCAACTTGACAGGCTAATGTCACTCAAGCTGATTGACTGAATAACTGAATATCTGAACAGGTGATTTTACTGACAACAGGCAATGTGGGCTGAGTAGAGAAGATGTTGTAAAGTGGCTCAACAGCTTCCTCTAGTGGAGGTTACAAGGCAACACACCATCCACCTTTAGAGACAGTTCCCTACAATAAGCTACACTCCAGATGTATAAATGGTAAATGGAGTGTACTTGTATAGCACCTTTCTAGTCTTCTGACCCCTTTTACTCTTCATGCCACATTCACCCATTCACACACATTCATACAGTGGTGGTAAGCGCTCATCACAAACAGAAATGAATCCTTTCATTCACATACACACACCGATTTACAGCATCAGTAGCAATTTAGGCCTCAATATCTTGCCCAAGGACACTTTGACATGCAGCAGGAGGAGCCGGGGATCGAACTGCCAAATTTCTGATTAGTGGCTCTACTTCCTGAGCCACAGCCGCCAGTTTTTTTCTGAATCTGTCTCACTCATACAGATATTTTACTAAATGTTTTGGGATCCGACTGTATTAAATATAAAATAGTTTTTGAGCTTGGAGGGTGCTTCAGATATTCCTAATTGGATGGCTAACCAAGTTGAAAGTTTTAAAAAAGACAAAAATAAATTGCTCCTCTATTTTCTTTCTTTTTTTTCAGATCTTAACATGGCAGGAGAACCGAGGCCAAACAGACCCAAAGGCCTGAAGCGATCAGCAGCTTCTCTCTACAGGTACACACTGCCATTTATTGGATTGATTGTCAGTCTGTCAGTCACATTTCTAAGCAGATCTTGGAGCGTTTTAGGACTCATCTAAACAAGCACAGGTTCTTTGAAAGGCCAGGATCTATATTAGACGGCCAACAAGAGAATATTACACCCACAAATGTGGCCACAAAAGCAAATACAGGTGCTCATGTGGGACTGTAATTTAAACCACTTTAATTGAAGAGGGTCTTTCAAACCACCTACACTGGATAACAACACCCTGAAGGTAGAAGCCGAGACCTGTAGGTGTTTTATTAACATTAACACCGTAAAGAAATCTCAGGCTTCTATTTTTTGATATCTCAGTCCTCATCAGTTAAAGGCTATCTAACTTTTAAACGAAAATTCAGACTTTTTTTTAGGAGTTTATATTGTAGCTGTATTTAGGATTTTTCTTTTCTTTTACTTTCTCTATTTTGTTTTACCCATGACAGCTTAATCATCCCTTTTAATGAAATAATAGTTGTTATGGTAGTAATCAGTTTCAGAGTTTTTCTTGTATTGAAAAAGTGTGGTGAGTCACTCTACCTCAAACAGCTGCTAAACCTGAAAAAGAAAAATAATAAGTCTGAAATTCAGTAGAGACCTTTTGTGTCCCACAGTTGTTTGAATAATGTTTCATGAGCTTTTCATGTCTATCAAAGGCAACATTAAAGTAAAAAATCTGACTGGCAGTTGTTTAAAAGTTTAAAACAGTATCGGCATTGGGCCTGACAAGGGTTTATAGCTGAAACCTTCAAACCTTCAAATTCAAATAAACAACTGACCCGCTCTTTTCTGCTAATTATTACGAGGTGGACAAAATATACAAAAATAAGAAACAGTGAATGTAAAACATATGTCATTATAATACAGTCCCAAAACAACAACGGCCTCATAGTTTTTGTCTCAAAAGCATTCCCTGAATATTTTAAAGCTGCATTAATCTAGGGGCCACAAAACCATAAAAGATAACTGACAGCAAATCACATATCCCAGGTTTATATAACATCCTGACATGTTAACAAGAGGTTGCATATTTAAACATCCAGCAGACACAGAGGAACATTATCTTCCCTTTGGCATTGTAATTGTGTTTACCTGATAAATTTACTCCCCTTTTAGCTCTGTTCCACTTACCTCACCAGCAAGTCTCTAACTTTGTCTGCTGTTTAGCGTACAGTGTGTTTATCAGAGCAGTTGCCTGCTGCCGCTGGAAATGGGGTTGATGAGATCGAAAAAATAAAATTGCAGGGCGTGAAAACAAAACTATGAACTAAAAGTGCTTAGTTTAGTTAGTTAGTTGGTTTTAGTTACTTAATTTGGTTCAGTTGTATCAATTTTAATATAACAAATATCACTAAAGTATATTTATCTAAAGTATAAAGTATTAATTTCTACATACTTTACAGCGACATAAAGTTTACTGAACCTCTAACTCCCCTCTTGTTTCTAGTGTATATGTTCAGGACATGTTTGCTAAAAGCATTCTAATAGCAACTGTAAAATGTGTCAGTAAACATTAATTCTCGTGCACATCATTCTCGAGTATCCCGTTTCTGTTGCCAGTTAATTTTTTTGTCTTTGTCATTTTCATTTTTCTCTTTCTGTCTCTTGGGGTGAGATGAAGTATGTTGTGGTTTCTTTGTCTCTCCCACAGAGTTTGTAATTATTGCCTCTTCTATGCAATTGTATTTTTTCATTTGTCGGCTATATGCAACTATAAACTGCGTGGAAACCCCAAAAAGCTTTTGTTCCCATGTGTTGTTTTAAATGTGGTTTCATGCTTGAGTTATGAAAAGCATTGTATCGCATTTCTTTGAACAACCACTCATGTTCTTCTGTGTTTTTTCCGTAGTGGCTATGAGTTTGACTATGATTACTACAGAGAAGACTTCTATGACAGGTAAGAGGAAGGATGATACTTGGATTCCTTCCAGCATTCTTCTCCCTTTAAGAGCCAGCAGGGCTGTAGCAGGCTTTGGACACATGGACTCTTGGCTCTGGTGTTTCCAGCTATCAACAGAAGGTTAATCATGTTAACCTCTCAGAGGCCAGAGGCAGAATGTTGTTTGAAGGCCCAATGTGAGTTCTCTATTGAGCCATAACAATGGAGCAGATATGGTGTTTAAAACACTTTTTTGGGTTGCTGTTATATTACACATGGACATGAACATGGAAAATTTTTTTCCAGAGGAGAAATGTTTTACACATCGTTATCAATAACCAGCTACCGCTCCATGACATGTAAATTACAAGATGGACAGATTTCTGGCAAGGAAAAGAAAGAAGAAAAACAGGAGATGCTCATTGACAAAACATTTTTTGGGTTCACTGTCAGTGTCGCAGATGAGCCTTGTGTAGTTTTAGTCCAAAAATTCATAAGTTTAGGAAACGTTTAAGATTTTGTTTTTGCACAACAGTAAGTTCAAAATAGGGCATGACAGAAACACTTATAGAACCACTGGTATATAATTACATAAAATTAAATAAAAAACATAAAATACAATAATTAGAGACTAATATTCAATATATATATATAATATAAAAAAGTGCTTAGACAGAAGAACTTATTGAAAACTTGAAAGTTTTCCCTAGACAGACACAGACAGCTTAGATTCCTTTTAGTTCCTGTTCCCCAAAAACTGTGATCATTCGTACTGTTAGAAACAAATTATCCCAGGATAATATAACACAATGTTTTAATACAATTCAATAAAAAAAATATCAGGGGATCGATGTTCATTAAGATATAACAGAGAAATATTCTCCACGGGTGGTTTGATGTTAGTGAGCTGAACAATGTGAAGAATAAAGTCTCGAAATTCTGGATGTGGTGATGAGTGAGAGCAGTGAAAAAGATAAGATGGACATGTAGAAAGAGCATTTAGATGTGTTAGAGAGAAATGTTTGGTTATTGTGTTTGTGAACATCAATAACTTATGATTAAAAAAACAGAAGCATTGACTGACCCACCCCATCTGCAAGAAGGAGAAGAACCAAGAAAATAAATAGTTCTTTTGGGAAAGGCTGCGGGGAATTTGTCTTTGAGGTCTGGTGAAATGGGGATGGGGCACCAGCTGTAGCTTTGCAGGTGTGCGTGCGTTTTTTTGTGTGTGTGTGTGTGTGTGTGTGTGTGTGTGTGTGTGTGTGTGTGAGTGAGAGAGGGAGAGAGGGAGAGCTGTGCTGTGCTGTATTGTGCAGGCATTTTCAGAAACTTTAAATAAAGGCTTGCAGAGAGCCCAATGTTTATAAATTTGTTTACAGTTGTAACAGGATGATACACAATATAATACTGTCAGTGTTGATAAAATAATTTAAACTTGAATAAGTGGAAAAAATGGGGACTGTGTCTTAGGGTTAAGGTTAGAATTAGTAATAAGTTATTATGCCAATGTGTGCATATGTGTAGGAGAAACTATGGTGTCCGCAGAACTCATGAAAAAGGCAAAAGGCCCTAATCTACAGTCAGTGTTCTGGGCTACTGTAGAAACATGTTGGTTTAACATGGCGGACTCCATAGAAGGCGACACACACAGAGAAAAAAATGGTTCATTCTAAGGTAACAAAAACACAACAATTCCAATATTAGGTGATTATACACCAATGAAAGCATACCTGTGTATATGTATATTAAATTCCATTTCTGCTCATAGATCTTTCTAAATGTAACACAACCAAATATGGTTGGTTCTGTCCATGCCCTCTTGAATAACACATTTCAGGTAGGCATCATTTGTCTGTGCCTTACAAAATGTTACAAATCACTTTAAATAAATCCTAAATCTGTTTTATGTTGTGACAACACTTACAGTTAAGGTTAGGTCGGGTTTAGATAGTTTAGATTAGTTAATAATCATGGCTTGGTTTGGCTTGGATTGAAATGACTACTTTAACAATCACATCTACAATAATAACCATGTGGTTAAGGTCATGGAGCATTATTGCTCTATGACAACGTCACCTGACTTCCTACTTTGCTCCAATCATAATTACTATGATCCAAAGTACAGCTGACCATAACACACAAACAGAGACAGAACACCAACACTGGCAGCAGCATGATGCTCCACAGATTATCGCACACCTGAGGCTGGAAAAACTAGCGACACTTCATTTTACACTCAAAAAATAGTTCTCCTGTGATGTCGATGTAGGTTTGAAAGCACTGAAGAACCTACTATACAATACCACACGTCTTCATTATAGTTACAGTGGGAATATTTTACACATACTACTACTACTACTGTACTAAAGATTATATATCTGATGTAATTAGAAGTAATAACAGTAACAATAATTATTAGTAATTATCATGGTTAGTACAGCTAAAATAACTGGATATTACAGTACACTATAATAAAATACAGCAGAAATTACTAATTACAAAATATAATAAAAATACATTAAAATACTGTTTTCTAGTAACACAGTATTTTATTGTATTTGGAAATACAGCAACTTGCTGCCAGTAACTTCTACACAAGGAAATTGATCCATGTGGACCTGTGAACACTTGATGGATGGATCTCTGTTATGTTATCCACTGTGAAAGGTATCAAATCCTTACAGCAGTCAGGTAGTAAGAGATTGTGTTTATCATGGAAACAACTGATCACATTTGATGGTAACACAACAGGAGGGTTAACAATGTCTTTCATCACAATAAAACAACTGACACGATCTTATATGAATTTTTAAACCAAGGGATTATCAGCCTTAGGGGTTTTCATTCGACTGTCTGCCTCTCAGTGAAGGAAATCTGGAGAACATCTGGTCAAATTCAATCCATTTACACTGACCTCGGCAGTCATGTCACAGTGTGGTAACTATTACTGCTCTGACAAGACCAGGTGAAAGTCATCATCAAAGCTATGACTGTTGTTGTGGGTAAAAAAGAAAAAGCTGCATCTGTAGTCCTGGCATTCCTTGTATTTGAAGCAAATCCTTGGACCCAGTCATGTATGTCTCAACTGATTTCCAAGAGAGTGCAGGACTTTGAAACTGAATCTTTACTTTGATAACGTAAAAGGTATATACGTACACCAGTGTGTTTTTGAAAAGTGTCTGTACAGAGAAGAACAGAAAGTAGAGATGGCCAGCTGAGATGAATCAGTGATGATGCATCCAGATGATCCCAGATGTCCAACTAGTGTCTGTCTCAGATCTAAGGAAGAGATCTTTGCATTCACCCAGAGAAAAAAATGATAAAACAATCTTGTGTTATTCAGTGCCATTATGTGCAGAAGTTTTTAAACGTTTTTGATGCAGAGGTTTTGTGTTTCACAAAAGACGGTCATGCTTGTGGTAGAAAAACCACTCTCCCAAACCCTCCTTTGACTCCTGTCAAAATGCATCAAGCACTGTCTATCTTTAAATAAAACAGCATAATGCAGCAGAGAGGGGTTATCAAGGTTTCTCCATCACACCTGAAAAGGAGGGGCAGTTGTGTCTGCTAATTCTGTCAATTACACATTTCTATTTAGTCTGCCAGTGTGCATACAGAACAAAGAGGTAACAGCCAGAGAGCTTAATTCTCATGGGTGCTGTTCAACGTGGCTTGTCCTTTGGATCCCATGAACATGGGACTTTCCAGTCCTAGGATGCTTCCTTTAACCACTGTGACTACTTTCTGTGACTGCTTGGATATCGGAGTGATTTCACCAAGTGTGAGACTACAACAATATTTTCAGTGGAGGAGTTGGCTATGCCCTTCTGCCCAGCTGCATAAACCAACCAAACCACACACCGCTGTTTTCCTCCAGTTTCTGCTGCCAAAGTTCAACTTTCACCCCCTAAGCACTGTGACCTTCAAGTAGAGCACCAACATAACTGCAGAGAAGAATGTAGTATAATTTAATTTTGTGCGTGAGTTGTGAAACTCCATCATTGGATTCTACTAGTTCCTCGATAAAAAATGGCAAGCACGGCAGAAAACATCAGATTGGATGAGTAATAACAAGTTATAAAATTGGATTTACATTTTGATTTAACTTGTAGCTTGTTTCTAGTGCTGGGACCTAAGGTGTGGTGATCTTGCAGCCCATCTTTTCCCCCACTGTTCCACCATTTCTGCATCAAATATTGGCAGGTTGACTTAAATAGATTTGTAGATATTCCACTGAAAGATGCCCCATTAAGTGACAAGAAGTCAAGATTATATATTTATTTATGTAGCTCAAACTCAAAAAACTGCACCAAAGGGCTTTACAATTTGTACAGAATCACCCAACAGAGGACAGAGCCTGGACAAATATACAATATTTGTTCCTACTTGCAGAAGTAGCAATAGAACTGAAAAGTAAAAAGGCTAGTAGCTGAATTACAGTACACCACACAATATGTCCAGTTTTACAAAGCAACTTTAACTGCATTAAGCTTAAGAGTTTCAAGCAATGTAAATATGTGAATGTATTGTGAATGTTCATGGTCCCCAGAGGATGATCTACATTTCATGCAGCAACACTTTCAGACAAAAATACCCTACATTCACAAGAAATATCAAGAAAGTATAGTGTCTAGAGTTCTATGTAATTCACTGAGCACATGATCCGCAGAAGATGAGAGAACACTTTTCATTTGCTGCAAACAGTCCATGATTCTAGCTTGATGTCAAAAGTTTAGGCTGCTGCTGGTCTTGTCAGGACTTAGCATAGATCTCTTGGCTCACATTAAACCAGTTAGTATTAATGGAGCATCATTTGAAAATTGGATTGCTCCTAAGCATTGCTTTCTCCTCAGAATCCAGCCTTTGTCTCATGTCTAATTGAAACCTCCAGCATTATAATTTACCATCACTTCAAGATGATTCCAGAAACATGACTGTGAATTTATTTTGGTCCCCAGACCTCAGCACATCAAAGACCTTTGTATATATGGGGATTGGGTTATAACTCATACATCAAT